AACTTATTCTAAAATTTGAGCTATTTCCGACATTTTTGCTTTCATTCAAAAAAATTTAAAATAATGTAAAAATTATGGCGTTTGACTTTTTTGCAGTTTTTTTTATCTCACCCTGTATAATCATCAAAATACCGAATATCGTTATATGGGCGCTATACGAAGACGTGGACCTGCATACGCAATTTTTTGTCATAGGCAGTAATACCCATTACGAACTTTTAATACGAAATTTGAAACAATTCCTGTAAAAATGTCAAAAAAATCATTAAAATACCGAATATCGGGGGTACCGTTGTTTGGGGGCTATACGGAATGTAAAGTACTTAAAAGGAACTCCTTGTGTAGACTTTCAGACGATTTCATTGGAAAAATTGGCTACAATCATCAAAATACCGAATATCGGGAATACCGTTAATTGGGGGGCTATACGTATCGTGGACCGATATAGCCCATCTTCGAACTTGACCTGACTGCAGACAAAACATTGGTCTGTGCAAAATTTTAGCTTCCTATCTTAATTCATTTTGACTGTAGCGTGATTACAACAGACGGTCGGACGGACAGGACTAAATCGTCTTAGAATTTTAGACTGATTAAGAACACATAAACTTTGTTAGGTCAAAAATTATAATTTCGATGAGTTACAAACGGAATGACGAACTTAATACAACCTCCATACTACGTATGGTGAGGGTATAAAAAATCCAAAAATTAATCATTGTACTCGACTTGGTATGCCTAGCGCTACTTAAAGTCAAATGGGGAAAGTCATACAATTGATGAAACAATTTAGCCGATACTTTATTACTCCGCATCCACCATCTTGAAGACATTCAATAACACCCAACTCTTTTAAACATTGCTGGAGCAACCTATGCTGAAGACGATGCATCAAAATTTTGCCTGGTATTGGATGAAGATCGGGATCCCCAAGGATCCTGGTCAAGCTCATATTTAACCGCAAGTCGGACCGTTATAAATAATAATAATAATGAAATAAGCCGTCTAGGTGAATCTGAAGGGCTTTCGACTCTCTTAGATGTTCTTTATTTAAAAAAAGGAATCTCATTTCCATAAGTATGTCCTTAATTAAAAAAAATCCTAATCCTAAAAAATAACTCTTGCACTTGACAAGCAATTTCCTTTCAATTTACAACTCAACAAAAATCTCCATATCCTTCTCTCTTTGTTTAACTTATGTATCCATTTACTTACTTATGTATGTAGTTGTGAGTTATTTTTTGTTAAATTAAGTTAATTTCAAATTTTAATTTCCTTTCATGTGCTGTCCATCTACCGAGTAGAATATTTACCAGACGATGTTGAGTTGATGTACATAAATGTTTGTTTTACGATCCTTTTGACATTAGCATGGCAGCATTAACTTTTTGTGTTGCGTTTTTGCTATGGTTGCGAAATATTATATTGTTGTTGACAAGAGAAAGTTGTTGCTGTTATTGCTCTGAAATAAAGTTAATTTCAATGTTAATATCCGTTTACAATGAAGTTCAGAAAAATGGAAACACAAAATGTTTTATTAAATTTGTGCAAAAAATAAATTTAGGCGGCTTTGGGCAAAAATGGAATCATAAGGTGTGTTTTTTTTTTCTTAAAGGGTATTTTTGGTTCTCGTAGATTTTTGCAGGTTCTGGAACAGAGCAAATATATGAAACGCATTTTTTCTATTCTTGATACTTGGCTAGAGAGGATATTTATCATTTGATACGGCAAAAACGTGCCTCATCGAAATAACGATTTTAGACCTTAGACCGTTTCAGAATAATTGGAGTCGTCCGTCTGATTTGATCCAAACTTGTTACATCGTAATATTATTATCAAACTTAGATCGAGTTCGAAGATGGACAATATCGGCACACTCCTGCTGGTACCTTTCCCACAAAAGGACAAAATTATCAAAGAAAATATTATACTGCACAGAAAGAGAAAGGATAATCCGATTTTGCTCCAACTTCGCAAATCCCAATATTTACATCAGTGCTACATCAGCTGCGAAATTTGATAATATTGGTTCACTCCATCAAGTACCTCCCCCACAAAGTGACAATATTTTGAATAATTCTAACTCTTATAAATGGCTATGTAAAAGTCAAATTACACAGATCTCAATATTTTTATTAACCCGAAATCTGGTATAAAGATGGAATATATCAGTCCACTATTTCTGGTACCTCCCCCACAAAAGATCGACATTTTGAATATCCTTGTAGCTCATAAAACGCCATATTTACATCCGATTCCATTCAGGTGTGGCACATCTCAATCTTTCTATCAACACGAGATCTGTTATAAAGATAGTAGAGATCGGACCTTTTCTTCTAGTACCTCCCCCAAAAAGGGTCAACATTTTGAATAACCAAAACGATTATAAAATCCGAAATAAGCATTCATTTCTCTTCATATTTCACACATCTCATTATTTCTACTAACACAAGATCTGCTGTGAAGATGGGATATATCGGTCTACTCCTTCTGGTACCTGCCCCATAAAGGGGGAAACTTTTTGAATAACCATGAAGGTCATAAATCGCGAAATTAACACTCGATTCCATTCAAACGTGGTACATTTCAATATTTCCAACAACACAAGATCCGTTCTAAAACATGATAGAGATCGGACCATTTCTTTTGGTACCTCCCCCACATAGGGTTAAAAATTGGATATTAATGTTCGATTTTCTTGTAATTTTGCTTACACCAATATTTATACCCTACACCACATAGTGTTAAGGGTATTATATCTTTGTGCATTTGTTTGGAACACGGAGAAGGAAGCGAGATAGACCCTAAGTTAATTTTGGGGAACTTCAGAGAATCAATTTCTGAATCGATTTGCGCATGTCTGTCCATACGTCCATCTGTCCATGTGTTTTTGTGAACAAAATGCAGGTCGCATTTATTATCCGATTGAGATAAAATTTTCCAAACAATATTTGCGTGGCCCAAAAACGAACCCTATTGAAATTGGTAAGAATCGGTTCAAATTTGGATATAGCTCCCATATATATCTTCAACCGATTTCAGGTTAATTGTGCACTAAATGGCTGATATCAGTCCAAATGACCTGAATTTTAGCACATCCGACCTAATTCAGTCTAGAAGCCAGAACATGAAATTTGGTGAAAATATATTTATATATAGCTATAGCTCCCATATACAGTGTGAGATAAAAAAATTGGAACAAAATCAAATGCCATAATTTTTAATTTTTTTTTTAAAGCAAACAATGTCGGAAATAGCATCAAATTTTAAAATAAGTTTAGATTTATTCGAATTGGTCACCTTTAGCACGAATTGTGGCCTTCAAACGGCCAATGAAACCGTCACACGCTGCCCGAATGTTGGTCTGTGGTATTTTAGCCCATTCCCAGCGAAGCGCTTGCTTGAGGTGGTCGACACTTTGGTACTTTTTAGTGCCAACCTTGCTCTCCAAAATACTCCAGACACAATAGTCCAACGGATTGGTATCCGGAAATTTTGGTGGCTATTGTGCGTTGGAAATGAAGCGAAGAACCTCATTTTGTAACCATTCTTAGGGGACACGTGCTGAATACTGTTGGAAAGTCCAAGGTCTGCGGCCAAAATGTTTGCGTGCCCAAGGCTTTAATACACCCTCCAGAATATGTTCGCGATAATATTCGGCATTCATTCTGATGCCACGGTCGATTATTGTTGCCACGAGGGGAGAGCGACCATCGGCTGTTATGGCGGCTCACACCATCACCATGGCCGACGCTTGAGTTCTGGTGGCCAACCGAAGGTGCACATTTTTCAGCTGACCCTCTTTGGCAAGTAAACACGATCATTTTGTTTGTTAACAAACTGCTGGACAACGAATGTTTTCTCATCGCAGAAAACGAAATTCGACAGTTCACCACTTTTGGGAAAGCGAAGCAACTCTTTAGCTATTTTCAGTCTATTTTCTTTCCGCTGCGGTGTAAGTTCTTGCACTTTTTGAAATTTCAATGCCTTTACCCCAAGCACATTTTTCAATATTTGCCGAATGGAATATTGCGACATGTTCACCTCACTAGCCATTTTTCGGCCACTGCGACGCAGGTTTCGATCAAGTCGCTTCTTTACTTTTCGAACCATTTTTGCTGATGTTGTTTTCTTCCGTCCACTTTCTTGAAGTCGGGCTACGCTACCAGTATCACGGTAACGAGCGATGGTATTGTAACGTGCTGATTTCATCACGTACATTTATACGAACCAACAACCGCACCTATTACACAATGAGAACAACAACAGCGGCCACTGCAAGTGCGACGCTAACAGCACCAACCAACCACCACCACCATACACACACGACTCGGTCATACGCAGTCAACAAGGCGACAACAGCACGAGCCAACAAACGCAGCATTCATTGGGCGCGTGGTGAACAAAGTAGTTTTCGGTAGTGTGTTGCTCACAGCGTAAGGCTAAAAATTCGCAATGACTTGGTAGAACCGGTCACATATAGTGTTCGGTTTGAGGTGCGATAAAGACAGGCTCGCTACTGCAGGAGCTTGCCAAAGGGTAGCTAGTGATTTTTCTAAAGATCATCGGCCGTCCTCCGACTAATAAAAGCGTTAGTCGGGAATACTTTTTCCAAGACTGGCTCTCATTAATTTGAGTGGCTGGTAATTCATTTACACAGGAGTTTCGGCTCGCTGTTCCACAGGAGCTTCGGTTCGCTGTTCCACAGGAGTTTCGGCTCGCTGTTCCACAGGAGCTTCGGCTCGCTGTTCCACAGGAACTTCGGTTCGCTGTTCCACAGGAGTTTCGGCTCGCTGTTCCACAGGAGCTTCGGCTCGCTATTCCACAGGAGCTTCGGCTCGCTATTCCACAGGAACTTCGGTTCGCTGTTCCACAGGAGCTTCGGCTCGCTGGTCCACAGGAACTTCGGTTCGCTGTTCCACAGGAGTTTCGGCTCGCTGTTCCACAGGAGTTTCGGCTCGCTGTTCCACAGGAGTTTCGGCTCGCTGTTCCACAGGAACTTCGGTTCGCTGTTCCACAGGAACTTCGGTTCGCTGTTCCACAGGAGCTTCGGCTCGCTGTTCCACAGGAGTTTCGGCTCGCTGTTCCACAGGAACTTCGGTTCGCTGTTCCACAGGAGCTTCGGCTCGCTGTTCCGTATTATAGTCAAACGTTGGTAGTGGAGTAGACGTAGTTAGAGAATCGTAGCTAGGCTAGTTACCTCGCTCCTGTAGCCGACCCGAATAACAGAAACCCGAGCTGCCGAACGAGCCACTATCCATCTACACAGCGTAACGCATCGGTTGCCGAATCTACCCTCAACGAGCTATCGAACACGAACGCATCGGTTGCCGAATCTACCCTCAACGAGCTGCCCAACCAGTACGAATGTCAATCCGCTCACGAAGACCTGGACAGCTGTTCCCGATTACCCTCTAATCGTCAACAACCCTCATCACCCGAACACCAACATCGTAATTCCTGATCATCGACAACCGACGACCACAAGTTCCCGATTACCTTCAAATCGTCAACGAACCCAAGTTCCCGATTACCTTCAAATCGTCAACGAACACAAGTTCCCGATTACCGTCAAATCGTCAACAGACCGCATCACCCGAACACAATCATCATAATTCCTGATCGTCGACAACCGACGACCACAAGTTCCCGATTACCTTCAAATCGTCAACGAACACAAGTTCCCGATTACCTTCAAATCGTCAACGAACACAAGTTCCCGATTACCGTCAAATCGTCAACAGACCGCATCACCCGAACACAATCATCATAATTCCTGATCGTCGACAACCGGCGACCACAAGTCCCGATTACCTTCAAATCATCAACGAACACAAGTTCCCGATTACCGTCAAATCGTCAACAGACCGCATCGGCCGAACGCAATCATCGTAATAATCTGATCGTCAACGACCGACGACCACAAGTTCCCGATTACCTTCAAATCGTCAACGCAAGCGTCACCCGAACGCAACATCGTAATTCCCTATCTTCTTCACAATCAACCTCCGACGGTCATCCCCGAGTATCCGATCGTCGACTAGCCACACTCATATCAACCACCCGAGTACTCATTGCGTACACCCGACATCATCACTCCCGATTGTTCACGAATCCCCGATCACCAATTAAGCAACATCACCTTGGAGTCACGAACATATCCGAAGTCAATTTGCCATCCTATATTCAATACTTATCTTATCGTATTTCAACCCGAGTAGATTGTAATCTAGAATTAAAGATCAATAAAACATCCGATATTTACCCCCAGGAAAGGGAGAAATCTACTCTTATTATTTCATAAGGTTTAGTGGGTCCTTATGGCGACCCTGGGTACAGCTGAGCTTACCTCAGCCGACGAGAAAACCACGTTACAGTATGAGACACAAAATATTTATTTACATTTAAATGCTGGAGTGCTCTAACGATAGCCACTTGTTGTTTTCCAGCCAAATATAAAGAAATCACACTATCACGCTTGAATTCCAACACGAATAACTTTTTTCTGGAAAGTTTTCACGAAAATGGTTTTGTACGCTTTAAAACAATATAATGAGCTGTCACTGGAATAATTTAAATAGCTGTCAGGCGAGTGGATTAGAAATGACAGCAGTCTGAATTTTGTTGCAGTTTTTTCATATCTCCCTGTATATGTTTCATCCGATTTGGGGTCTTAAGTAACTCACATGTGTAATATGCACTACAAGGATCATTGGTACCAGATATCAGATACAGCCCACAAATACCTCTGCCAAATTTTATCGAGATCGAAATTTTATCAAGATCGAATCCGATATCAGGTTTATTGTACACCAAATTGTTAATATCAGTTCAAATGTACTGAATTTTGGCAATTCCAACTAAATTTATCCTAGAAACAGGTACATCAGATTTGGTGAAAATCGGTTCAGATATAGCTATAGCTCCCATATATATATGTTTCATCCGATTTGGGGTTTTATGTCCGTCACATGCGTAATATGCACTCCACAACAATGATCTTTGATACCAGATATCAGATACAGTTCAGAAGTAATTACCTAAAATTTAGTCAAAATCGGTGCAGATTTGGATATACCTTCCATATATACATATTTATCCGATTTCAGGTGTATTGTGCTCCAAATGGTTAGTATCAGCCCAAATGGATTGAAATTAGGCAATCCCTACGGAATTCAGCCCAGAAGCAAGTACTTCAAATTTTGGTGAAAATCGGTTCCGGTATAGCTATACCCCCATGTATATGATTGATCTGTTTTGATGTTAAAGACCCTCACAGTCGTAATATGCACTGCACAACAAGGATATTTGATACCGGACATCAGATACAAGTATAAAATGCATTTGCCAAATTTTATCGAGATCAGTTCAGATTTTTATATACCTTCGATATACATCTTCATCCGATTTTACGGTTATTGTCCACCACATATATGTAATATCAGCCCAAATTGGATAGATTTGTTCATATTCAACCGAACTTTTCCATTTAGAGAAACTCGGTCCGGTATATATATTGCTCCAATAATTATTTAATTATGTAATTCTTATCGAAGTCGAAGTTTAGGTCCGATAAGAAATGGACAATATTGTTCATTTCTTATCGGACCTAATATTGGTCCATTTCTTGGGAACCTAATCCTTATTCCCCCATCAATTTAAAAATGTAACAACCACAAGCCATCAGATCTAATTAAAATTCCACCACAAAAAATTACAAATTAAAGGCATACTTTTAGGCGTCATACCACAACATTTTAAGAACTATAGTTTTCTTGGCAAACAGCTAACACACATACACACATTAAATGTGTTCGTCATGTTTTACAACAACTACAACCACTTCACACCGCACCACCGAATGTCAACCAAATAAAACTTTTCACTTATCCTTTTGCAGAAGACCAAAAAAAGCGACAAAAACAAATCAAACTTACGACAAAATAAGCGCACGAAGAAGATGAGGAGATGAACAGCAAAACAGCTGTCATCTAAGAGGATTATGAGACAAGCCAAAAATAATTAATGCAAACGAAAACATACACACACACACAAACACATTTATATAAAATGAATAAGGGAAAGAGGTTACTGTTGTTGTTGTTGTTTTTGCCAAAGAAAATGGAATAAATTAAACAATTAAGAACATTTTGTATCCTGCTGAAATTAAGCCATTGTCGAATGAATTTAGTAATTTAAAAATATTTAAGAGAAAAAAACAAGGAAATTTAAAGGGAAGTAATTTCTTTTTTATTATTTTGGAAAAGGGAAACATAAACGGAAATAATTTGTATGTTTAAAGCAAATGGCTGGGAAAATGAGAAACCATAGAAAATATAACTTCATAAAAAAATAAACATGGTTTATGGAAAAGAAAATTATAATTAAACAAATAAGCTAAGGCTATGGTCGTGCGGGATCGACTATGTGATGCCCTACAACACTACAATATGTCCAAATCCATTTTGGAAGATTTCGCTTTTGAAATTATGTCACGGAGCACTGCCCAGATATTACCCTTAGCATTTTGACCAGGGACATTTCTCCAATATTTACTTACTCCGTCGTACGGTTAGTTGTTGTGGTCCATTTTACAGCCAAATATAATCCAATGATCATCCAAAATGCTAGAATTATTCTCTGTCCTTAACTTTAATTGTGTGATCAGGTCATTATACCCTACACCACAAGGTGGTCAGGGTATTATCTATTTGTGCGTTTGTTTGTAACTGGCAACAGGAAACGAGATAGACCCATAGTTCCTTTTGATGATCTGCATAGAATCACATTCTGAGTAGATTTATGCATGTCCGTCCGTCGGTTTGTGAACAAAGTACAGTTCGCATTTATTGGCCCAAGGACGAACCCTATTGAAATTGGAGATAATCGTTCAAAAATTAGATATAGCTCCCAAATATATCTTAGTCCGATTTGCCTTTTATTGTGCACCAAACGTGTAATATCTGTCCGAATAGTATGGAATTTTGCACATACAACCAAATTAAGCCTGAAAATAAGTATGCCAAATTTGATCGAAATCGGTTCAGATATAGCAATATCTCCCATATATATTGTTCATCCGATTTGTTATATTTGTTACCCACAGCCGTAATATGCATTCCGTAACAACGATATTCAGAGAAATATATGAAATACATCTCAGAAATATCTTTGCCAAATTTTATCAAGATCGGTTCATCGGATATGGCTCCCATATATGAAGGGCTCACAGCTATACCGAACTAAGTCATAAAAACATAATTCCAAGATATTTAGAGGTAAAGTAAATGTACTGCAATTAATTTCTGGAAGCAATATTTTAGTCTACCAAAAGAAAATGTAAATGTCTATATTCAAAATTAACTAATGATATAAAGTTAAAAGAAAAATAATTTAAATATATTACTAAAAAAATATTCAAAAACAAAAAACCTGCTTTGGTTCGTTATTACTCTGAATAAAATTTGAAGGTTTTACAGCTAAAGCGAACCAAGTCAAAAAAATAAATAAATTGTTCATTTTATGACTAAATATAGTTGATGTTCCGCTTGTAATAAGCAACTGATGTTGATAGCTTTGGAAAAGGCAATGCTTTTTGAATGTCGAAAGTACAGAAATAGTGCTCATCAGATGGCACTTCTGTATTCAGTGAGTCTCGAGCTATACATTTCAAAATTTCCTTTAACACAAGAACTGTTATAAAGATGGTAGAGATCGCACCATTTCTTCTGGTACCTTCCCACACAGGGTTCAAGATTTTGAAAAACAAAACAGAAAGAAAACGAAATAATCATCCTACTCCCTTTAGATTTCACACATACAAACATTTTCGCTAACACAATATTTGTTGTGAAGATGGAATATATCTGCGAACCCCTTCCGGTACATCACCCACAAGGGGTCACAATTTTCAATGCCTTTATCTGTCATAACTTGCGAAACAAGTCGATGATTCTTTACAACTTGCTATATCTAAATATTTCTCTCAACCAGAAACATGAGATGAATATGGAATAATGTACGATTTTCTTGTCATTGTGCCCATACTAATATTTAATGTGTATTAGGAAAAAGTATATCAAATAAAAAAACAGTAAGTTCGGTCGGGCTGAGCTTTGAATACCCTCTACCATTTGGAAAGGATTTGGATATTAAAGAATACTTTTAAAAATCATAAAAATACCGAATATAGAGAGTTATCGTAATATGGGGGTATATACGAAAATGTGGACCTTCAAATAGGAAACTTGAAAAAATCCGGTAAATAATATCGCAAAAACATCATAATACCGAATACGAAATATGAAAAAAATTGGTGAATAATGTCATTAAAGTCATCAAAATACCGATCATTTCCAATACCAAAAGCCCTGTAGACCAAACACACATCTGAGTAAATTTTATTAACCTACTACAAACGCCTCGGAAGCTAAAGTGATTTCCACAGATGGACAGACAGACGGATGGACATCACTAAATCGACATTGAATCATTGCTGATATCTATATATACGCTGATTCAAAGTGAAACACACTGACTCGGTTCATTTTTGCTTTGAATAAAAACGAAAATGACAGTCGTGGACTTAGGTTTTTTAACGTTATCTTTGGAACGAAACACTTTTTGACATTGTGCTTTACAGAGTAAACAGAGTTGCCATATGCGGGGACATTGGCACTAGTTTCGGCATTTTTTATTTTTCATGACTTGGTTCGGTATAGCAGTGAGCCCTCCATATATCAAATGGGCAATACAAGTCCTAATTTAAAAGATAAATTTCTTCGGCATATTTTGTCTTTTGAATTTTAAATTACAATTTTAATCATAGCGTGTATGATTCTCCCATAAAAACTTTTAATTGTTATGTGGAGCTCTACTAAATTAGCAAAGTGGTGTAGGGTATCATAAAGTCCATGTTTAGACTCATCTATATGATTTGCTTGTCTAAGATATTTGGCTATATTCGTCAACGAAATCTGCATACAAAAACCAGAAGTTCGCCTTTTTGTGTATTTTGGATATCGCCTGTAAGTAATGTTGGTATTTTTTCACAAAAAAGTAGTAATCCATTCAACCAGCTT